GCCAGCCCCGGCAACTTAGCGAGACCCTGTATCAAAGTGAAAAATAAAAAGGGCTGGGATGTAGCTCAGCGGTAGGGCCCTGGGTTTAATTCATAGAATCACAAGAAACAAAACAAAATTAAACCAACTTAAAAATTCCAGCTGCCTCTCCCCCCGCCCCCCGCCAACCCCCAGAAATAGAAAAGCTGATCCTAAAGTTTCTCCTAAAATTAATAGGGAATAAGACCAACGCCATTTGAATAGCCAAATTGATCTTTAAAAAGAACAAACCTGGAGGACTCACGTTGCCTGCTTTTGAAACTTATTACAAAGCCTCAACAATGTGGTCTGTCAAAAAGACGACGTATAAACCCCTGGAATAATGCTGAGCATCCTGGAACATCCCAGCAACTATGATCAGTGGATCTTTTTTTTTTTTTTTTTTGTACCAGGGATTAAACTCAGGACACTGCTTTACAAAGTAGAGTAACAGATTTTGACACCGCCTGAAAACTGCAATTCTACACATCATGGAGTAACTCAGAGCAGGGCCCGGACTGTTCTGCACATAGACACAGTCAACAGGGACGTGAACCCCTCGGCCTCTGTGATGGTTAATTGGAATTGCCAACTTGATGAGATTAAAAGATGCCAATGATGAGAGGCTTATGGGTCTGTCGATGAGGGTGTGTCTAGGAACGACTGGCATGTGGGATAGCCAACCGAAATGGAGACCCTCGCTAAGTGTGGGTCATACTGTCCGATAGGATGATGGCTTGAATGCAGTAAAAGTTGGAAGAACAAGGAAGCAGCAGCAGATGCAAGAGGATTCTTTTTGAACCGCTGCTGAGATCATCTGAGGATACATTACCTCGCACTTCTTCACTCTTCCAAATTGGACTTTGCCGGTGATTCTCCAGGGAGTTTCAGAAGCCTTCAGACTAGGGTTGAACGGTTGGTCTCTCTTGTTCTGAGGCCTCAGCCTCCTGGACTGTGCAGCCACTGGTTCTTCCAGCTCTCCAGCCTGCAGACAGCCACTGGGGACTATCCAGCTTCTAGTCACGTAAAACAACCTAATAAATCCCTTTTTTATAATTATACTTCCTGCTGATTCTGTTCCTCTAGAGAACCCTGACAGTACTCCCTCTAAGGAAAGATTCCATATTTCCATGAGTGGAAGGAAGTCCCACCATGTTCCTAAGGCTGCCTGCAGTTTTGCCGGCTGGAGACCTCCATATGTGCTAAGGCTTGGATGTGTCCTTTGGAATTCATGTGTTGGAAAAGCAATCCTTGAAGTCTTAAGTTGATGCTATTTGGAGAAAGATTCTCAGGCAAAGTAATGAAGGTTTGACAACACCAAAAGAGTGGGACATTAATACAATGGACCTTCACCAGAAGAGGAGGAGAGACCTGAGCTAGGGTGCTCTGTCTCATCACGTGATGCCCTCTGAGACTCTGCAGAGTCCCCAGTAATAATAATAAGAAGGACCTCACCAGATGTGCTGCCCAATCTTGAGCTTCCCAGCCTGAATAGACCTTTATTCCTTATAAATTACTCGGTCTGTGCTTTTAAATATTACAACAGAAGACAGATGAAGTGAGTATTAACATTCTCTTCTGCAAATGTGGTGGTCCAGGAAAAGGGGAAGGAGGGGAAACGGAAGGGCACTTAGGCCTCACTTCCTGCAGGACCAAATAATGTGGATAACTGTAATAATTGAAAATTATTTCAAAAACAAACTCTCTTTCTGTTACTCAGGCAGTTGTTCAAGGGCATGGTTTTCCATCAGAGTGGCGCTCTCCCATCCCTGTCATCTGCTGCCTCTCACCTCACTGACCTCAGAATTCCAGGGAAAGACTGTGTGGGACATAGTCTTGTCTTGGGTCAACAGGTTGTTTCTTTTTGTACACATGAAAATACAAACCCACTCCAAAGTATGTTAGTTTTATTATTTGTAATAATTTAGCTAGAACCCTTTGGGCTCCTTACTGGTTGCTTTGTTCTTAACATGAATTCTTTCATTTAATCCTCACCAGCCTGTGGGATAGATTTTACCACCATCTGTACAACTCATGGTGTGGAACAGCCTTAAAGAGCTGGCAAAACCCACCCAAGGTTACTGGGTAGTAAGTGGCAGGCACAGGTACATAGCCAAGGTTACTGGTAGTAAGTGGCAGGCACAGGTACATAGCCATGGTCTTGGGAGCTGATGGTTTTTATTAGTCTGCCATCCTGCCTTCCTGCGCTTGCCTCTGTAGATGTCATTGCTCCGGACAAGTCTCCCCAACCCCCTTTCTCTGTTTCCTGTTGCCTCAGGAGAGGATTTTTGAATCTGAGATAGCTAGTCCTCACCAGAGATGGGCAGTCCACCTCAGCAGCACCTCTTCATTGGGACCCAGCTGTTGTCCTGGTATCTGTGCCTATCTCATGAGCCTGCTGATTTGCTGTGTTGTTCAGTGTCCTAGGTCTGATCAACCTGTCATTAACCCACACAGCAGTCAGTTACTTATATGTAAAACTTGTTGGCTGGAGTTGGCATTTACTGCAAAGCTGTGCTCCACGGAGTCTATGTGTGATCACTAAACTACAATAAATTAAGTTGAGAATCCACTGACATTTTGATTTGCATTTTCTTCTTAGGAGTGAAGTTAGGCACTTCACGTATGTTTAAGGACCATTGTTATTTCCTTTTCGGTGAACTCTCTGGTCATAACCTTTCCCTTTTTCCTCTGATGGGTGGATAATCTTTTCACTTAGTGCTTTCATCCATATTAGGGAAATTAACCTGTGGTACATCCTATTAGTGGCAAATATTTCTTCAAGGCAGTTTTTAACCATGAAGAACCTTTTTTGTTAAAAAAAAATGTACTTAAATTTATCAACCTTCTGTTTCATGGCTTCTGTTCTGCTTTTCTCACTCAGATTATTCTCTGCTAATATTTGTTTCAGTTTTAAGAGACAAAAATGCTTAAGCCATATGGGATTTATTTTGTATAGCCTGAGGTTAGAATCCAGCTTTGCTCTTTTTCCTAAGAGTCATGTTGTCATCAGTGATTTTCCCCCATGATGTGACACCACATAATGATATCACATGGTGTGTTATCACCAGCATTTCCGTGTCTCTTTCTAGACTTTGTTATGTTATGTTGCATGGATGTTTGTTTGTATATTCCATTTTAATTACTGTAGCTTCATGAATTAAAATATCTGTCCAATATCA